ACAAACAATACAAACATTTTTAGAGAGACTTAGACTGAAGAGAATCTCTTTATTCAGACGTTTTGTAATCAATTTGTTGTTATTTTTATTGTCAATCGACTTATTAATGGCACATAATATCTGATTCGTGTCAAAGATCTGATCCAAAGAGAGACAACAGATTACTGTTAGTGTTCATAATGAGGACAATGAATGGCAAACAAACCGTTTGAGCGCTGATGAGGCAGATGTTGTCGTGGGTTTGAGTCCACTCAAGAACTTGAGACAAATTATGGATACTTTCATACAAAGCAATGCGTGTCTCATACGAGTCCACGAAAAGTGTGTATTTAGTGATTGGTGTCATATCTGTGGTCACATCTGTGGTCACATTCACACCATTCACTCACCTCACAAAGGTCTGGCAATTGATTCAATGCACAACACCTCGAGTCACATGTGATTTAAAAAACAAACTTTTAATCACAATAATAGACATAAAATATGTCAACATTTGCCTGCAATGCATGCATTGATGAACGCGTGAAACGTCTATTTTTGGGGCAAAAATAACTGAAAACATGAGACATACTAACTGTACGATTGCTTCATTCAATAATAAGCTGTAATTTTGTTGGAAAGTCACAAATGCAGTGAATTTCATTGCATTTGAATGACTCGTAAATGAATTGTCTATTCATTTATCGACCATTGATTGCATTGAATGAAAGTATGCCTTCAAGTGATGACCATTGCATTAGTGGTTGCAGTAATTGAGACAATGATTGCTTTGTTTGTATCATTAGATTGAAAGACTGTGTGAAAGGATGGCGAAGGCATTGAAGACAGAGTTTGTGATCGCTTTGGACGAAGACTCCGATAGCGAAGACATTGAGGACATTGAGGACATTGAGGACATTGAGGTGACAGACCTGACCGGTGATAACGATGTGATAAGTACTGAAACTATTGATGAAAGTGTTGCCAAAGTGTTGGACTCAGTGATCGAGTCGGTGGCCACACTGCCACTACTTGATGACATGAGACACGACAATGATGTCCAAGAAGTGGACATAGAGTTAGAGTCGAGAGCAGACAATACGAGCAAAGAGTTACCATCTGTTGAGCGCTTTATACCCAATCGGACGGCTTCTCCGGTGTTTACGTCGGACTCATTCATACCCCTCTCAACAGCCGCCACAACCTCTTACAGCCGATACTTAAACCACAGCAGAAATGCTGACACCAGAGCTAATGCCACCACAAGTAGTGATAGACTCGTCCGACCCATTGATGACGTCGAAGACGTTGATAATCTCGAAGTCAATATCTGTAACAATGATTCGGATGATGAAGACTTGGAGGGCGAGGACTGTATGGTTATCGACGATATAACCACTCATTTCGACGATGAAGTGCACAAAGAGTTGTCCGACAAAGAGATGGACGGTTCGGATGACGAGATAGAGTTGATCGAAGAATGCAATCTACAGAACAAATCAAACGATAATTCCAAAGAGAAACCTGTGATCGAAGATAATGTGATTGATTTGAGTGATGACGAAGACGACTGTGTTATTATCAACGACTCATTTACTGCCAAAGTATAAGACATTTCCTTTTAATTACTTAATATATCGTATGATTGTTTCAATTAGTTCTTTGAGTCATTCATTGTGATTGTCATCCCTTTTCTTATTAAACTTATTTTTCAGATTACTTTTTGTGAATGCTTTTCATTTTAGGTTCATTAAAACATTTCTAACGTTTTTAATTGAATTTATTTTTCCAAATGAAAGCTCAACAAATTGACAGAATATGTGCCTGAACCTTTTTGGACTGACTTTGGTCCCAAACCATTCAAACCATGTGAGCCTTCATCGCAATCATATATACCATTCCTAGAGCCGAGCACTTCATCCGGTTATAGAGGAGGGAGTTCTGTAGCAAAACGTCCGCATCCTTCTCACCACTATAACATGCATTCCTCCACTTCTTCATCCACTAGTGATCTTCAGTATACGGGTAGACCTTCAATGGAGTCGACATGTTATACAAACAGTTCCAATCGTTTCGTCAGCACTTATGGTTCAAAAGTAGACGAAGAAATTCCATTCTTATATAACGAACCAAACACTTCCACTTCCAGTGATTTGGTGGACAGTTCGGACATCAATGATATCGATCTGATCGCTGAATGTGTAAAACTGGACAAAAGTGTTGTCCGCAATGTGTTGAATCTGATCGAAGACCAGTGCACCGTTCCGTTCATTGTTAGGTACAGACAGTCGGCCATCAGTGGTATCGATGCCGACAAAGTCCGTCGAATTAACATTGTTTACAATGAAGTGAAAAGAGCTAAAGAAAGAGCCAAAGAAGTTGAGGCGACGCTCGCAAAACAGGACCGAATGAATCCTCGGCTCAGTTTGGCTTTGAGTCGCTGTAAGAATGTCTTCGAAGTCGAACATCTCTATAGGTTGTGTCGAAATGAGAGCGAATCCGCGGAAAAGTTTAGAAATTTAGGTCTCAGTGACAGCGCTATCGCTGTTCTCGAGGGACAGCGTCCCGATCCCAACCATTTCGTCAAGAGATTTGCTGCCGGTATTGCTTTCATTGCATTCACTCGTTATTAGTTTTGTTTTGGTTTTTTGATAATTGTTTACCGTTTCCAGAACTCGATTGCCCAGAATCTGTGACTGAGGGCTGGTATGTGTTTTTATAAGAAACTTTAGACCGAAAGTATATTTACTTTACTAATTGGTTATCAGGTGTGCCATCATCGCTGATATAATCAGCAAAGACTGTGATGTTCTTGAGTTTTTAATCGCTGCGTAAGTCAATTGTTTTTGCAATAATTTAATATTAAATTAAGTGAATGTTTGCTTGTTTTTGATAGTTATAAACAATACACTCCAAAACTAGCGGTTGACGAAAATCCTGAGAAAATAGAGGAATTGATTCGTGAAAATGATCCCAAAAACATAGAGTTATTGCAAAAGTATCGGCGCTTTAATTCGTTTAAGAAGCCAATCACTCAAATCAACGCTCATTCATATATGGCTATCGAAAGGGGCGAATCCATTGGCATTCTTTACGTTAACATAGAGTTCGATACAATTATTTTGAATAAATTGACTGATTATTGTACTCTCAAGTGGAACCGTTGTATTTCCACATTTTTGGCCAATTCTGTTAAATATGCGTTCAATAATCAACTGAAGCCTAGTCTTCAAGACTATATTCGATGGGAATTAAGACATTCATCTCATATGATAGCTTTGGATGTTTTCCGCAATAATGTCAAACGTTTACTCCTTGAGC